TATGGCTTATATGCCAGCTCTCTTGTAAATGGTCTGCGGCTTGGTTAAAATTCAACAAGTAAATTGAATGAGTTTTATCTGTGCACGCCTCAGCTTGCTCCCCCTGATGCGGCTGCCAGGCCTGGCAATAAATGATAAAAATCTCCAGAGTTTTATTAAATCGTGTTGCATTCATGCTGAACTCAGGAAAATGGTGAGGTGGCTTCTGCAATTACAATCCAGGACCAGACAACATTGTTTTCTCCAGTCAGTGGAAATTTCATTACCTTACAGCAACCGCCTTAGAATTGGGTAATAGTCTCTTTTTGTCAGAGACACAAACTGTCTGTGGGAGGTGTGACACTCCATACGTGTTATCCATTTGCAACAATAACCATCTAGTCAGTCACAGTCCAGATGCTGGTCAGCATAATGCACCGTTATTCAGTGATATGGAGGAAGTGAGCGGTGGAAATAGCAGTCAATAGCTAATTCCTGGATTGGCTGTCATGTAATCAGACGCATTGAACCTGCATACATCCATACAGCTGACTGTATCTCTCTTGCAGGCTATTATAGACGGATGACATGGGTCAAAAAAGGCCTCATCTGTAGCATGTCGATAAATACAGAGGCGAACACATTTTCTGTTTCTGCGGAATGAACTGTGAAGAAACCTCTATTGAAGCTTGTTGAAAAGTTTCCGTGTTTGAGTCTATACAGGATTTGTAAGTTAATATCAATCAATTCTCCTTGCTTTTTTACCCACTGTTACTTCAACCAAGTATTCAACCATCTGAGATGTAAAGTGACCATTGTCAACAGGGAATATATTACCACAGCATGACCAGAACATACCTTATCTGTCTGATGTATTTCCTGCTTCCTGCCCGAGGGAGAGCAGTCAAGCAAAATGCAGGGAGGTGGAGATTAGGATGATGTGCAGTTCCTTGTTCCATTAAAGTTTGATCTTCCTCAATAGCCGAGGAGAATCAGATATCTTCCATTCAAGATTAAAGTACACCAGCATAGAGGGGGATATTAATCAGAGGCCTGCATGAGATAAAAAACAGCCTTGCTTCTGGCATGGAAAACAGTGGCAATAAAGAGTTCAGCTGATAATGTGAAACATGGCGAGGCACAATAGCAAATCAAACAGCATGCACAGGCCTCCAAAACAAATCAAAGCGCCGACTAGGCTGCAATACAGAGGCTGAAGAAGTACAGCGGGGGCTGATCAGATAGTAACCAAGGCCTTCATTTTATTACTGTTTAAGGTTGAAGAGGGCGCACTGAGGATTTTCCCATGTTGCTCACTGTCGCCAGGCTCTCATTCCCTCTCCTCCTCCTCCACTTGAGATCAATGGCGCTGGGGTGATTTCACAGCAGCCTGCACTGTCACCCAGAACAAATCAATGTGACCATGAGGAAGGCAAGAGCGGCATTGTTTTTAAGGAGAGCAAATTCGCTGTTGGAGAGCTTGTCAGATTTGCTTTATTCTCTTTCTTGCACCAAGAACACTTTGGAAGGAGCATGCCTCCCCACACGTCTCTGGCTGGGTTATGGAGTAAACTATAAAATGCACGGCACTCAGCCTTTCTATACTACTGTACTCATTAACCACATATAAACTCCACAGTCCCTATATTTCACACGCACAAGGGCATTGTCAGACGTAAAAAAATGGACTGACCGCCCTAACCTTTCCAAATTAAAGGCTATACATTAACCTCGGGGGCCCTGTGAGACGTGACTTCCACTCAGTCTGACAGGGTGAGAGGGGAGGAGGGCGGGGGATCGCCGCTGTCCGTCATGCGCTAAGTGGCTGCAGATAACCCTGATGAAGAGTTGCCAACGTCTACCATCACAGCGGATCAGATCACTTGAGCAGGGCTGTGGTCAGGTGAACCTTTTCCTACAGTCTGAACAACAGGAAGTCCTCGGCGGCGTAACGAGCAGAGAACCACACAGCGTCTCACTACCATGAAGCTCTCATCAGAAACACTGGTGCAGGGGTGCAATCACAGGCCTGTAGGCTTTATTTCAGTCGCTACTCCACATCAAACATGCTTGAATTGAAATGCATAGTTGTTTATGAAAACAAGATGCCTGCACTGTGTTTAAAGTTGTAGAATGACATGCAAGTCAATTTACTGAAGATGCGATTATTTTCTGTTACATGATGCTAATCACACTAGGGTCAATCACACAGCAGTGGTGTGCAGTTTGATTTGCTGTAGCAGCTAACTACTTTGAGCATAAAGAACTTGTACTGCTACCTTCAAACCAAATGTTTTTCCAGCAAATCCTGCCTCCACATGTCAAATCCAATCAACACTATCATCTTTGCTGGAAACTGAACTCAGCTTTCACCTCGATTCATTCACACTGACTGGCTGAAGGGTGTGTTTGTTTATTCACAATTACTTCTGCGTAATACCTTTGTTTTATTTCACTCTTTCCCCCTCCACATCCTGAGTACTGATGTGCAAGACAAATCTCGCTGCCGGGACATCAGAGTTTATATTAAATCATGTAATATTGTAAGGTACAAGGAAGGGCACGTCTCTTTTGTTTGCCTGCACATGAAAAGTGTTAAAACAAGGACTATTGTAGACTTTGCCTGAAATGATACACTTTGATCAGGCGTCTAATGAGCTGCTGGTTACATGGCTTTGAGAGAAAACGCTTGTGTTCCTTAAAGTGTCCGATGATATTAGGAAGTAAGAAGCTTTGTGCTTTTCCATGATATCAAATACTCTAAGAACGCCAGTCTTTTCTTTGACAGGGGAAGGAAATGTTGTTCATTATTATTTACATCTCCAGTATATTTTCTCTAGAAATTGAGTTAGCGGATCGTAAATCGGTTATAAAAAGTGGTTATTTTATTTGTGTGGGTACAAATAAGTGCTTTTATTACTAGAGTCCACACAAGAACGGACATGCTGACACTTCAGGGATGGGAAGATCGTTAGTAACACACTCTCTCTCCCACACACACACACGCGCACACACACACACACAGAATCTACTATTTGAGTCATCTTGAGTGCCAAAATGAGTTTTGCTGCCTCTGGGTAGGTGCTGAGACAATCAAACCATGCAGGGATTAAAGAAGATTAATACACAGCGCAGGAAATTAAACTTCAGCGACTTTAGCGGTATTCATGAGTGAGGCTCACTTATTCACTTCAGGCTGGCGCTTTAATAAGCGAAGAATACAGTAAGGAACCAAAACGCTATCAATCAATCAAGCTGATATGGAATTGGAGCTAAAGATGCATAGCTTCTCTTGGTGTTGGCTTTTAATTTCATCAATATGAGGCTAGAATATGTTCTCCACCTCACAGCTGCTGCTGGTATAAATGACTATATTAGATCTTACTTTAGTAATGCTTTCTCTCACAAGTAAAGCAGAAAGAGCTGATGTGATCAGGATTGATGCAACACAAAATACTTTTGCAAGAGTACATTTGTGGACTTGTGCATTTGTTGGACAGATGATAGCATAGAGCAATAGGAAACATGGTAAAAGCAAGAGGAAGATGAAATGTGAGTAAAGTCTTGTAGCAGGACACTTGAAAGTCCAATGTTACTAGAAAACACAGGACTTAACAGCAAGCTAGAAAATAAAAAGGCAAACCAAGAGCTACAAACTCCTAAAGGTGATTCAGTGACCCAGATATTATAGCTTTTTCACCATTCTGTTCTCCTCTGCCTTGTCCAACCTTCATGTTGAGTTAAGGGAAGCATTATGCTGGGAAGACTATTTGTTTAGGTGAGGAGCAGCCGCAGAGCTAATATGAGCACAATTTGCTCAGCAGGTCATAGGCGCAGAGTGTAGGAAGTAAATGAGGCAGTTCTGCCCCCTCGGGTGCAGCCCCTGCCTCATACATCACTGGATGTTTTATTCAATACAGCCAGGATGGCAGGTGCCCTGACTGTGGGGGCGCCTGCCCTGCTGTAGGGGCCCATATTACATTCAGAGAGCTGCCTGTCTGCGGGGCGGCTGGAGAGAGAGTGACTGGAGCCAGGGAGGAAGATACATTTTGAGGATGCTTGTAGTCTAATGATAAAACATACTGTGTGCAGCTCTTTCCCTGCACAGTCAGCATAATGTGCAGGCTCATTTATGTGCAGTGTGAGCGATGAAGCTAAATATTGCAGAGCAACCTCAGCAACATGAGGCTCAAAGTTCACAAGAGTGGAAACAGCCCTAAACTTTATCAACCAGTATATTCAAATAAACATGGACTAAAATAACCAGACTTTCCCATTTGCATTCAAGACCCATGGCTGCAGAAGACATATTTGCTAAAGAATTCACAGGACAATGACAAATTGCCTTCCAGACCTCAATGCAGCACAGAGAATCATCCATGTCGCCGAGCACCAAGTGAAAAGTTGTACAGCATTTAGCACACATCTGCAGGAATTGTGTAAATTCCTAGATTAAAGCCTGTCACAATATACAGGCCCGCTATAAAAAGGGATGGTATATCATTAACACTCCAGGGTGAAAACTCACTAATTGCAGCAGTCACTAGCCACCCTCCCCACACGCAGTGACGCGTGCAGATGATAAATTCGCACCTTTTGCTCTGAGCAGCAACTCTTCCAGTGGCACACACTCCTGCCTGTGGTGCCTGCGGTGCGCTACCCTCGACAATACACTTAATTGCTACCCATACTTGAAAAGACCAATATTACACATCAAAGCAGTTCCTAAAGCCATTCGGGAGCGGCTCTCTAACAAGTCGATTTTACAACACTTCCTTTACTGTAGGTCACGCATGGAAACAAAGGCTTTAAATCTGAGACATCGTTATGTTGGCATTATCCTGGGAAAAGGGAACATTTACAAACATTCATTATTTTCTGTTGTTCTTCTCGTTACCATCCCAAAAGGATTCAGCACGTCTATGCCTGTAACTACGTTAATGGATACAAAAACTGACCCAAACCATTCTGAATCTGCAAGACTTAAATGAGAAAAATAAATGGCCGTAAAATATATTTACCATAAATTGCTCCGTAGTGCAGACTAGAACTCCATGCAGATTGTAGCATTCACTGAGCAATCTGCCTCATACTTCTGTGGTCCAAATTAAAAAGGATTCATTCTGTTCTCCAAAATCCAGCAGCCGCTTTGTCGATGTCAAATGTTGATTAAGTTTATCCTCCTCTTCCGATGTTATGCAAATACACCGGTAACCCCGTGAATTAGATTCCACACTCTAGCCTCTAGCATGCAAAGTTAATAAGCTTTGCCCTTTTTCTCGACTCGGCTGCCAATTTGTGTCGAGGGCAAAAGCGCAGGTCGGCAATTTCAGGAGCGTCCTCGGAAGGACTGCGCACCGAGAGCGCTTCGGGTTTTCAACGTTTAGCCTCCGGAACAAAGTAAAAGGTCCTGGTTGCTCTTCTTTGCGCTTGTAGATACCTCCAGATAACAGAACAGCTTATCTGAAGACTGGCTGGTTGAACGGCTACGCAGTATTCCCAAATCCACCGCTGTTACGCATGGGTTTAAAGTGGTCCGCCTGTTCAATATACAACCTTAGTTCAACATGTTCAAACGACTGCTAGTAATATTCTCTATGGAATAGCAGGTGCCCTGAAAGAAATCAAGGCTGGGCCACTGGAGGTGGCTGAAATATCCTAAACTGAAGCGATATAAAATCCCGGTGTTCAGGCTCTGCTCCGTCCGTCACTTTCTCCGTGGTGGCGGAAGAAACGAGATATCTTGCCTCCCGTTTCAGACTCAGATTTCCAGCTCAGACTGTGGAGTAACCCCGATAGCAATGGTCCGAGATACTCTCTTTGGTGTATGAACCAAATAAGAAATGGTTACGTCTGATTCTAGAGCTAGCAGAGCAGGCGGCTCGGGATGCGGTCCTGCCCTTGTGCCGAGCTGCCGAGACTGACAATAACCCGGAACGCTGCAGACAGTCAGGCTGCGCAGACCGCCCACCGACCAATCACTGCACTCAGGGAATAGAAACATTCCCACGGGTTGGCCAATCATCAGTAATTGAGGACTGTTACCATAGAGATGCTCGGCGTCCAAGCGTCTGAAACCACGTTGTTTATTCGCGGAAAAAGAAAAAAAACGTTCTGATATAAATTGCCGTGGCAGGATGCAGATTGAGATCTTTAATCACGCTTTCATCCTTATCAGCAGCCTAGTTAAAGGTTAAAGGCAGCATCCCTTCACGGGGAGACTCAAACCTGCAGGCTCTGCAGACGTGCCCTTGAGCAGGAGACTGAATTACATCCAGCCGCAGGAAAATTGCTCTGTAGCTGGTCTACAGGGAGAACTAAAGTATTATCAGGCAACAGGAATACAATTAAAAGTGATAAGCATGCAGAATTAATCTGCTGTTCATGAATTGGTGACTGCAAAATGCGTTTGAAACTCCTAAAGGAGACATAATATAAATAATAAGCCTGGCAAAAATCAGTTTATGCTATCAAAAGATTGCCTGATGTGTGATCAGAATTTATTGTCCTGTATGAGCTCATATATCTAAAGTGATCCATATGGGAAATCATGCACATCTCTTCAAACTCAACATTGATAATGTCTTTCAACAACACACCTACATATATTTCAGCCAGACAATCTTTTACTTAGCAGAATGTCTTTACTGACACTTCCAGCTATGAGTCACAGGGAACCTTGCAAAACACCTACTTTTGCAAAATGTCATTCAAACCGAGAGGAAATGGAGGTTTTTCTTTGACAGAGGCCCTAAGCTGTTCTCTTCTTCTTCTTACTAACTGTGTCCGGTGCATCACACAGACCCCGGGACACACAAAGGTAGTACAAGGAATCACACATCATGGACTCTCATAATAAGCTGACGCTGGGAAGTGGGTGATGCAGCACTCAGCTTATGCCAGTGCTGATAAGAGCCTGAAAGTATTACCTCGGTCTGGCAGCCCGCTCCAAGAAATCCATCCTGAGCCAGGTCATCAATTCTGCCCTATCTGATTGCTCACCAATCCCTGGCAGCTCCATGTCGCTGTCCTGCTACTGCCTTTGAAATTCTCTCTATGACTTGCACTTTCATGCTAGTTCTTTGAAAGAAAAATAGGTACATAATATATGGGGTCTTTTGTGTGGTCCTACACCTACAGGACAACAATAAAACTGACTATCAGGGGAGGCGAAATGATGATGCCTGACTTAGTCAATCCCTTAAATGTATTCACTGCAATCACATCTCCCCCTCAGTGCTGCAGTGGACCTATAGAGCATACATTAGAGCTCAATCATATCACCTAGGCCGTGCAGCTGCATAGTCAATCATACATGATGAACAATTAATTGAAAAATACTCAACCAGAGCTGTGTTTTGCTCCAGTGAGGCAGACAGGCAGGCAAATAAGCCATTTGATTAGCTGATAAGCAGATGACTCAACAAACATTCAAGGCATGTTTACTGTGGTTTGATTAGAGTACGCCCAATACGCAGAAGATTGGACACAAATACGTTGTGAAAACACTCAGCTGTTCCAATCCCCAAGGCAGCATGAGGGCACATAAAAACAATGAATTATTTATGGGGGAGACTAGCGAAATATCACGGGGGATAATTTTCTGTCGGCTTTATTAAATGCAGTTTTCTGAATAATATGTCTGAGTCTGTGCATTCCCCAGAAATCATTCCCAATGACAGGATCTAGAGCCTGGAGATTGGATATGAAATCACATTAGATATTTCCCTGCCAAGAAACCTAGGAACCATTTACTAAAACACCAAAGCAAGGGTTATTCACATGCTAATTGGGCCTTCTTCTTTCTTAAATATGATCAAAGGATATTTGCTTTGTCTCCATTCAGGTATCAGCTCTGCATGAAAATGAAAGACCTCACTATTAAGCAAAGCCTTTGGCATGCTTCATCTGAAAGAGGGTTTACAAAACCAATAAATCCAGGTTCAGCTTCAGTAAAAACCACTGCTGCTTCTGTTTGAATGGGGCATCTCATAAATAAAGCTCTAGTATGCCCCCATCCAGAGCCAACATTAGTGTCTGTCTCTGAACTGAAAGCCTTACACTGTTACAATTTGTTCCTGAAAGTGAACTCAGTTTAATTGAGCAAAGTTCAAGTCTCCACAAACAGCAAAGTAACAGGAAAAAAAATCGATGGCAGCAGAGGCATGGAAAAAAGAGATAGCATTGATTTATCTGCCATTGATTCCCAGGGATCGCTGCATTGTGCCCTCTGGGTGAAATGCACGCTGTCTGCCAACTGGTGGGGAGGAATCTGAAAAGGTGTCAAGTGGTTGGAGGACACAGAGGTGGCGGATAAGATCGGGAGCAGCCAGAGGTGGCATGGGAGGAAGAGTAGACTGGAGAGGGAGCAAGGGCATGAAGTATCAACCGGAAAGAAGGAGTGGAAGAAAGGATTGATGAGAGGGGATGATGTTGCGAGGATGGCAACGACACTACGCAGGGTTGAGTCTCTAAAGTGTTGCGTTAAATGTCTCAGACAGAAGCGAGAAGAGATCAACATGAAAGCAGAACGCTGAGCAAAAGGCCTGAAGCCAAAGCCATCAACCAAGACACCAGTTGAATTCAAGACTTCCCTGTCCTCTTGAAAGTATCATCATCTTAAATGAATATAACCTGGACATGTACGCACAACAACTTTAGTTTATTCATTGTGATGTCAAAGGCTGTTGGCTACAATGATACTGTGAGTAAGCATTTATCAAATCCTGCTGTTGCAAGGGCTTGACAAGAAACATGTCTTTTGCAATATTTTAAGTTTCAGCAATTGGCAAATAGATGTTTCCCCAGAGACTTTCTACTGACAGCCAAATGTTGTTGAGAAGAGGGGAAGCCAGGACAAAGATCAGAGGGCAGAGCAGCCACGCAGACCCAGACGAAGAAGTGTTACTCCTGAACTTTGGTATCTTTACAACATCTCTCTCGCTCCTCAGTGGGCTGTTTGCAATCTCACGTCCACACTGAAACTGAAGGAGAAGTGTGTGTTTGCTATCGTGGCCCCCTGCTTCCGTAGCAACCTTCATAAAAAGGTTGGTATTTCATATTTTAGAAAACCAATAAGACACATTTTTTTCTATGGCCTCGCTCAGTTGGTGATATTTCTACCATTTTATCCAAGTATGCCTATGTTTTATGTTATGGTTCCTATTGTATTAGTTACTTCTTTTTTTAAATCTCTGCACCAGTGTTTTGTGTTAAATGTGTTATACAGATTTAGTTAAGTAAACAGGAAGTCTGACACTAGTTTATATTTTTAAAAAGACAAGGTGTTCCTGAACAGCTTGGTTGAGAGTGATTTCCTGTGAAGTGCTTTGTAACCTTGTTTTCTATTCAAGGTGCAGTTTAAGTGAACCTCAGTTGACTTGACACAAAGACTGTCACTTGTTTATGTCTCAGAAAGCTGTTTTCTTAAACAGTGTTCTGGTTCAACCCTTGAGAGCATCTGGTTTCCTGTGTGTGACCAGTCAAGAGAAGTCTCTAAGAGACACCACCCGGAGCCTCATCATACACACAGGAAGCTGTTGCAGACAGGCTGAGTTTGGGTTACGTTGTGGCTTTCATGTTTGGGATCAGTGTGTTTTTAGGTGGGGACCCTTCCTCAGGCCTACATTTAATTTAAAAAACAACATAATCAAACACTGTAACTGCATTAAGTGTGATAAGGAAGGCCAATAATGTATTTGTGCATTTCTAGTATCATCTTTACTTGAGACAAAACATTAACAGAGATGAAATGTCAGGTTTTTATGTGTCGTCATTAAATCGAGTGGTGGGAGGTCAGATAGTTTGACCTCGGTCACACAGGCCTTTTTAATCTCATGGCAGCTCTTCCTCCTCATAAAAAAACTAAGGAGACAAACTAAGAAGACACCCAAACTATTTGTATTTGTTAGGAAGTCATGTTCCAGTATTTGGAAAGCCTTTAAGCAGAAGGTCTTTCACCCAGCTGCCACTACCTTGTTAGAAAATAAAGCACTTTTTTTAACACCTACTCGCTGTTTGTCAGCACCTTAATGTTAGCCGCAGCTCCCAGTATTATATTAAAAAAAGAAATGTTTCTGTTATTTATCAAGTAATGAAATTGTGCTGAATAAAAATACTATGTCACACCAAATTAAAGTGTTTCATCATAATATGAAACGTCAACATTTTACAACAACCAGAAGTCACACACAAACACACACAGATAACCACAAAGACACACAGACAGACACACACATACGCACACAATATTTAGGCTGTAGTCTTGCACTCCTTACAGCAGCTGGTTGAGGCAGTTCTGTTGGTTGGGAGCTTCACTTGTTGTATACAATACAAGACAGAATCAGATTAGCACTGGTGTCTGTGACAAGTAAGAGGCCGCTGAATACACTTTGTTTAGGTTAAGAGCACCTTAATAACAGATGCCCTCAGGAAACAGCTATAACAAAAGCACACATATAATCAATATGTGTTTAAAACCCAAGCACAACATGAAGGAAAGTTCATTTGAATCAGAGATTTCCACCCATGCTGCAGTGAAATCTCCCCAATATGTAGCGAAAAAAGATTGTGATGATCTCTGCACTAATTAGATATCTTAATCTTGTGAAAAATGTGACTGTAATTTAAAGAGAGTCCCAGTTCCCGATACATTATTCTAACTGGGTTTCAAGTATGTCATGTGTTTATTCTGAAAAAGTGTCACAATTAAGTAAAATCTAAAAATACTAAATGACTTGATTGTCGAGTGTGGAGTTGAAGGATGATATTGTCCCACAATGCAATGCAAAACAAGTCTTGAGGAGCTGCTTACAGAAGAAAACAAATAAAACAAATGTGAATAGCTTCAAGAGCAGTTTAGTAACTGCTGTGATTTCTTTAGAAATTCTTGACCTTGGAAATAGTAGT